CAGCAGCCCTTGTCCCGAAGGGCGCCGAGGTGATAAATCTCTCCTCCAGCAGCACAACCACTATAACCATGCAGGAGATACGTTTTCTTCCTGCTGAGCCGAGAAGAACTGCGGAAAGGAATCATTTCGGTTTCCCTGCAGGGAACCCGGAAAAATCGTGACCATTAACCTGAATTCTACTGCGTATGTAACACGGACGCACAACGAACTAATTAATTCCACTGCTTCCTCACTGCATGCAGTTTATGAAGAATATAGAGTGATGTTAAAAGTAGCTTGGGCATTAAAATGCACATGGGGCTCCCTTCAAAAGGTTAAAAAAATAATCTTCCCATCAGGAAAGGTTATATTTTTTTAAATGAAAATGTGGTAGTGCAAAACATGATTTGATGTGAATGCTGTGTCTCGGTATTGAGAAGCAAAACGGTAAATTGGGGCTTTTCGTTCATTGCACCAATATTTTATCGTGCGAATCACAAATTCCCTTGATGGTCCATCGAGAAATAAGTCATTTCTTTCTAGACAACAAAAAACGTAACTGCTTTATTGACACACGAAATTATTTTATTTTACGTGCCATTCTCTCCATTCTCCCCACAGAAATACCAATAAATTTTTCGACTTATGAAAAATACGGTTTATTTAACCTCTCTGCCAGAAGCGCTCTAATTCCAATTTCCAGAAAATTCGTGACCCATTCCCTGAAGAATAATGCGTTTTAATCTCCTTAACTTAAGGTTTTTTGGATCTAACCTATCCCTGATCTAAGTTTTCTTATCACAAGCCCTACTAAAATGAGACTAAATATTTTAGAACACCTAATACAGAGCTTGTGAAAATGTATATTGTAATGCTCCACACCATAAAGGATTTGGAAATCTCCTGCAGCTGAGGCATTTAAGAATGAAAAATTTTCCAATAATTACATCAGAACGCCATATTAAATGATTAACCTATACAAATCAGGCCGGAAAATAAAAACTCAAAACAAAACAAATATTCGTCTCTTTATAGATTCAATTTGGAAAAACTTGATTCAACAAGGCTTACCCTGATTTTGAAGCTCATACAGTATTTTCATCGCTAAATATCATTGTTACATGTTTGGTTAACTCAGGGCTTCAGAGGGTGCTGTAATCATATGACAATATAACCAGAGAAATTTGGCAGCAAGCCTAAAAATTGATCAAGTGGTACTCAAATGTGTGCCTTTTCAAGGAGACTTTTAGTCGATAAAAAGAATTTCTGAAAATATATTATTTAATTTCCGAAATTTCGTTACGCGCGGGGTATTTCGTTATTCGAAACATTCGATATTTGGGGATGATGACCTAATGTTAAACGAATTTGTCTGTGACCTGCTTCCTGTGAGAGATTACAAAATAATGCCGCCGGAACGCCCATCGAATGAGGCAAGGTTGCGGGCTTGGAATAAGTGAAGTATAAACGCGAGCACGGAATGATATTAAACGAATTTGTCTGTGACCTGCTTCCTGTGAGAGATTACAAAATAATGCCGCCGGAACGCCCATCGAATGAGGCAAGGTTGCGGGCTTGGAATAAGTGAAGTATAAACGCGAGCACGGAATGATAAATGTACTCAATTTAGATTTTGGCCAAGAAAAATAATGAATGATTTCCTCACTGAAATATCGCACCTTTTCGCACGGCTTTCACGCTCCAGAGGTAAGACAATGTGGAAGGACGAATGTTTTTTTTTTCTTCATCTCGTCGCAGAAAAGTAGGGCCTTTCGGAAGTTATACAGATTATTGGGGATTTTGCACCATAAAATTTTGAGATTTTCAATATTTTTCATTCAAAGGAAATATCTAACCAGAATAAAAGTCCATTCATACGGCAGCAAGAAATATAATGTTCTAACGCATTATTTTTGCGAGTTTCAACAACATTTAATTAGCTCCATATAATGAAGAGAACTAGGTGCGATAATTGAGCATTCGACGGCAAAAGCGTTATTGCAGCATTCATAAATCCATTCGAACAGCAAAATTTACGAGATAAGAAGTTCAGGTAAACCAAGAAAATTCGAGAAAGTCTGACAAATTTGTTAGTTACCCTTAAAACATAATCACAATTTTTGAAAAAATCGTTTTCAAGAAAACATGAGTTACAAATTTTCATAAACATTGGCCAGAAAAAATGAGAGTACATTTTTTATTCGTCTTACTTGGATTTTGAGGCCTCAGTACTTATGGCTATTCCGACCAACACCATAAGCTGGAATAAAATACTGTATAATTATGATATTGATCAATTATTGTATCCATGAACTTGAAACATTAGGCTTCGAACATTTCCTGGAACATTTATTTTTCTTTCAGTCTCAAAAATTGATGAGCATGTGTAACCGATGACGTCTCTTATTAGTAAACATGGTTTTCAGTTGATCGAATAGAATTCTGTAAAATTTAGGGAATTTCCATGATTTGTGTTTCTAGAGTGAATTTAAGGACTGATAGACGAAATTGAGCACGTCTTCCCTTCAACAAATACTAAACAGAAATAAACCAAGTTCTAGTTTTCTTGATTAACATTTCCACATTCATAATTTGGTAAAAGCAGTTAGGATGTTCAAATTAAAACTCTAAATATTTGAAATATCGTTAAAATACATTCTTTGCAAACACTGGTTTTCATTGCAAGAGAACATGATTTGTAATCTGAAAAAAGAGGGAGGGAGGATAGCCCAAACTTTGAACTGCCCGGGATTTTACTGCTTTATCGCGGACCAAACGAGGAACTCGTTCCGCTGATCGCACAGTTGAAAAAAGGCCAGGAGACTGGAGTGGGAAATTATCATTAATTTTATTTCTCGTATGTTTTTTTCTTCTTTTATGTGTCCTTAGCTCCTTACCCACCACGAAAACCCAGCTTCGTCACGAGACTCGAGTTGCCCCCGACTTGTGTGGGAAAGGGGATACGTACAGGGTACTAATCGCGTAATTGCCGGTCCCTCGTCGGGTTCTGCGTTGGAGCATTGGCGAAACCTTGGGGCACCCGAGTATTTAAACTCCGGCTGCCTGCTGGGATTGGTATCAGTTCGGCTTTGCCAATCCAGCAGTGCACTTGCAAATCAGTGTGTGGTTCCACCAATTTGCTTCGCAGGCTTGATTGTTGCTGAGTCCACTTGAACCCCGAAGAATCAAGGAAAAAACCCCCATCACTTCAAATCTCATCATCATGAAACTCGTAAGCTTCATTTGCGCGTAATTATCGAATTTCGATTTTTTGCAGCTTTTTTGGTAAACAGTCTTTCGAACAATAAGCAAGAAAAAATTTACAACGTTTCAAACCCTCCAGCTTGACCCACAGGCTCGCAACCAGAGCTGCGTAAATGTTTTCAACAATTACTTTTAAGAAAATCTCAGATAATTGGTTAATATTTAGCCGCTGTTTCTGCCGACAATATTTTGGAGAAGCATGGAAAAATTTGCAATTTTTCAAATACTTTCAAGTTTTACAGCTTCTTGAGGTTTGGGGATAAGAGAGTGTTGAGGCTCTTGAAGTCCGAATTTTAAGGAAGTTTGAGTAATTCAAGCTGCAATTATGGGGATGTGCCACAGCCCCAAACAGTGGAGTCCTCGAGAAAATACTGGAATGGAATGAAACATTAGCCAACAAAATAAAAGCTTGTAACATTTGTGAATTTAGAAGAAGTTGGACTGAAGATGTTCATACATAATGAATGATGTATTATTTTGTCAAAATCTTGAGGTATGACCGTATGAAAGATAGAAAGATATTATGGTTTTCCGAATGGCTCAGTCTTGAAAATAAATTTTTCAAAAGAAGCTCTGAGACATAATTTGGCTATTATAATATCTATGGTTCATGATGTGAGAGAGAATCAAACAAGTTAGTACCCCCTTATATTCTAAGAAAGAAGGCTTATGATGTAGATAATGAAATGGTGCAATTTGTGATAAGAATACCTAGAAAAATTACTGACCTAATTATATCATTTATCACGTGACAATTTATAAGGAGCGACATTTTTTGATCAAATGAAAATATTCGGCGATTTCAGTGAATTTAAATTCATGCCAGTTGCTGCGGGGATTTAAAAAAAAAGGAAATTGCATTTCCTTTTCTAATTTTTTTCGATGCCCTCTAAAAGGAATTGAAAGACTTCCGATTGCAGTTCATTTATAAATCGGATGATTTTATCTTGTGAACTTTCGTTACCGTGTAAGCGACATCTGCATGTAATCATTCTTAACTCAGCTTACAAGGAAATTCGAGAAAAAGTATGAAATTCACGTTATCCCTCATCATACCTCATCAATTCCAATCAGATTCTCTTCTGTAATTTGACCACCTGATTGAAACTCATGTTTCAAAAAAGGTTCACCTGGTTTGCATGAAATATAAAGGATTATCAGTGATTAATCCGGACCCCTGCACATATAGTTTCAGGGTTTATTCATCGTCATAACGATGAAGTTAAACATTAAAAAATAGTTCAATTCTCTTTAAAGAATGTTTTCGTTTTAATCCCACAGAACTTCATCAAGAAGAGTGATGATCAAATAATCACAGGCAGGATCTCCTGACAAATTTTAATTTCGCTAATTGCTGCATAGGCTTCCTCCAAATTCCAATTACTAAAATTTACCAAGTGTGCACATGCAAAAATCACCTATCGCGAAAAGAAAATATAAAATCATAATTTTACCCAGAATGATAAAAAAATGCAGTTTCATCTGCGCATTGTATAATATCCCAATTTAACCTTTGCTTTTGTAAAATTGAGAATAGACTTGGTATGAATAATTGTTTTACAAATCTTCTTCATATATGCCATGATTTTGATCAGGAAACCTTTGCTCTTGAAAATGAATGACACTAAGAAATGCAAGGGTAAAGAAAATTGTACGTGAAAGATTTGAATTGAGGATGACAGAAGGGAAACCTTTTTGAGCGCTTACAATATGATTTTATTCTCAGTCGACATGCATCAAACAGCATTTTCATTCTATCAAAAAAAAAAAATTAAAGCTATGCTCACTTTTTCCAAAGAAGCATTTTTCGGGACCTTTCTTGAAATTTGGAGTGGAATTCCCTCAAAAACATTGCAAAATGAACTTTTCCAAATTTCATGCTGAAATATACGCACGTGCTACAAATGTGAGAAAATTGTTCTTACTTATATCGTGGATACGGCAATAGAGTAAGAATACCTTTAAACTCTAATTTTATTTTGTTAATAACTGTGGATTTCTTGCCGTAATATTTGTAATTATTTTTTTATCAAATTGTACGTCAGAAAATGAGATTAATGTAAAATGAACAAACATTAGCCTAATTAGAAGTTTTTTTATTCGCAAATTTTATACTTTGTAAGCCCACAGTCCACACGCATAAATCGTCAACCAAAGCATAATAAACAGCTTCGAGTTCAAATTTTAAAATTTGTGATTTGACCTACGTAAACATTTTCACGGTGAAGATGAAGATGTAACTGCCAGAAAATCGTGGGTAAAAACACTGCCCAGTATTTACCCCGAGAATGCTGAAAAAGTTTTTCGCAGAAATTTGTCCAAAACTAGGTACAGATTTCATCGCATTCTGAGACCTTACATCGAGAATGCATCAGTGAAATCTCCTTAAAACAAAATCCAGTGGGACCAGTAAAGTAGCTTCGTTGAAAAAAAAAAAAAAAAAAATCTTCGTACAGCAACTCACTCAACATTATATCTATTGGGCGGGGACCTTAAAAAAAATTTCTTCGCTGAGATTGCTCGTTTCAACGACATTCCTTGCAAGTGGATTCTATTGCATTATTCATTTCGTTCCAATTTTTTGCAGACACTCACACTCGTTGCCCTGGCTGCGGTTTGCGCCGCGGTTGCTAGCGCCGCCGACGCAGACCTGACAGCAGCGGAATCCAAGTACGTCCGCCGCCACGGCGGCTACAAGGGCGGCT